TCCTGAGAGGCTCAGGAGGCCTGGTGCCCACCTGTGCTCAGAGTTCATGCTGAGTCCCCTGGGCCCCTGCTCTGCCCCTTCAACCTCAGCTGCCCCCAGCTGGAGCTGAGTCTCCCCCTTGGTCCTGCAGACCCCACAGTTCCCAGGCCTGAGCACCTGCCCTGAGTCCCAGGGGACCTTGGCTCTGGAGTCAGGAGCTGGGCCCACAATGGTGTCTTTGTGCCTCTCTGGCCTGGGTCTGGCTGAACAATACTAATGAGCACCCTCTGATAACCGTGGGGCTGTCCTGAAGGTGCTGGCGTGATCCAGGATTGACCCCAGCCTGGAAGGGGCTCTGAGCAGGAAGCCTGTCCTCCTGGGGGGGGGGGAGGGCGGGGCCCGTGCTCTTTAGGAGCAGAGACCAGGGAGCAGCTGGAGGCTCCACGCAGGGGAGACTGGTCCGCCCGTGTTCTGGTTTGACTGTGCCCTAGCTATCTTTTGTCCCCTGTTTTGTATGAGCCACTGATGGTTGGTCTTGTGACACGGGCACAGGCCTATGTTGGGTTTAATGGAAGATCTCCAGGCGCCTCCTGCCGGCCACCCACCTTGCCCCTTGTCCCAGCAAGCTGACCTCTACAGAGCTCTCTAAATTTGCTCCTCCTAGATACTGGTTAAGCTCAACTTCCGGTGGACACCCTCACAGGTGATAGGCCAAGGAGCAGGGATCATCAGATGGTGGACAGAAGGTAGGACAGCAGTTTGGGGTCAATGCATGCCAGACAGGAGACAAGGCAGAGGTCAAGGTCCATTGATGGTTAATACTGCTATGGGATGACATGGCAGGAGGTCAGAATTGATGGATGGATAGATGCTGTCAGGATGCAGCAGGGAAGGAGGTTGGGGTCAACCCATGATAGAAACATCAGGAAGCTACAGGGTCAGGAGACGAAGGACAGAACCTCTACATCCATGAGGGTTTTTCCCTCTGTATTACGTCTTACAACTGCACGTGAATCCACAATTCTCTCAAAGCAAAAGGTGTCATTTAAAATCACCACGAGCATGAATATGCCTTTAAATCAGCGGTGGCCCAGGACTCAGCAACTCCACTCAGATGTGCCCTTCCAACAGGGACAGTCCCCCGTGTGCAGAGCAGATGTGACCCACAATAACTTTGCTTAACCTACATATCGTGGAAATACCTTCAATATCCCTCAGCATCACAATGGCTCAGTGGAAGCGCCTGTCTCCAGGAGATGACACATTAACCGGGCACTGCAGGAGCAGACATGGCTACCCCTGTGCAGGACTTGTGGGCACTTCCTGCAGGCCCGGGGCAGGCACCAGGGAAGAAAACGAGCCCAAGGCTCGGCTCTCAGCCCCCTACCTGCTCACCTCGTCAAAGGGTGGTCTCCCCACTGCCCTCTCCGCCAGCTCAGTCGGCGCACAGTCAGCCGATTGTCCTCTAGCTCCTCAGTGAAAGGCGGTCCCCACTCTTGCCAACCGCGGTGCAAGAGTGACGTTGCCCGTACTTGCAGAGCGCAGGGGCATCTGGCCAATGGAAAGTGGGATGTGGGAGGCGCAAGGCACAAAGTGACCCCCCAGAGCCTCCAGGTGTGAGCTGAGCTTGCTCAGGGACAGTCCCTGTGGGAAGCCAGGCTTTGGGAAAGCAACCACCTCTCGGCCACAAACAGAGACGATGACCCCGTAAGAACCAGGGGTGGAGAGACTCTTCTGACTCCCAGGGGATCTCAGAAAGGAAGAGTCCAGCCTGCTCTCCAGTGAAAGCCAAAACACCAGGGAGGCTGTTCCTTGTCCCTAAAATATTGCGGGGTCCTGTAGCCCCAGGGCAGCAGTGGCTGGAACCCAGGTCTCTGATTTAGTAGTGTGGGCTGCAGAATTGCTGGGTGAGCTGTGTTCAAACCTGGCCAAGGCTCTCGTGTCAAAGTCAGGTTGATACAGAGGTGGCACTGACACGTGGACCTGGGACGTTTATGCAAGGTCAGGGACAGTGAAGGCCCTACCCTGCCTCCACCCCCAAAGTTTAGCTTTTGTTTGACAGGTTCATGCACATTTCCCCTTCAGCTCAGAGACGCTCTTAACCCAAGGTCGTCCTCCCTGGGCTGTGGGGCTCCACCCCCTGACATGTGGCCGGGCATTTCCCTGGACCCTCTGTATGTGTCAGGGGCTCCTCCTCCTCATGTGCCCCCCATCTGGGCATTGTCCCACAGATTCTGGTCATCACTCCTGCCCCAAGTCCCGCCTCTCCTCCCCTCGGCTAGGTGGCCTTGTCCCACAGGTCCCCTCTCTGCGAAGTGTTGGAATTCCCTGAGGCTCTGAGCTGCTGTGAGCTCTGTGCTGCTGTGAGCTCTGTGCGCTCACACTGATCAGCCCTCTCCTCCTCCCTCACGGCCCCTTTAAATACCGGGTCACCTCTGTCAGAAGTTGGCCGATGCACTGTGGCTGGTTTCCAGCAGTGTCCGCTGTGAAACCCGCGTTTACCAAGCTGCCCTGAGCACGGGCAGCTTCAGAGCCCACCTGCCTGGAGCCAGCCTCGCAGCTGGTCCAAAGGTTCAGACTGTTTCCAGCATCGTGTGGAGAAAGGTCGCCACGGGGAGAAGGACGGTCGCGAGGACATTTATTGTGCAGCTCCCTGGAAGCAGGGTGGGGGCCCCACGCCCCACCAGCCCCTTGGGCAGCACCAGGGCCGGTCAGAAGAGCAGCAGGTGAGTGTCGGGAGCTGCCACACAGGAACCGAGTGCCCCTCAGCCCTGAGCGATGCGAGAGTGCAGGTGTGGGGAGCCCGCTCTGGGCTGGGGGTGAACCGTGGGCACTGAGCGCACAGGGCGGGCGGAGCCCACGTGGCCCCTCTGTTTGGGTGGGCCTCAGTCTGTCTTTTCACTGGCCCCGCCTTGATCCCCACACAGCTCATGAGATGGGCGTGGCCTCCCCAGGTGTCAGTCAACCGCTGACAGCAGACATCAGGAAGCTGGACTCAACCCCTGACCCCTGACCCCTTGCCTCATTTGAATGGCTTCTCCCCAATAAAAGGGGTCACTCTCTCTTTCCACAGACTCCTAAGGTTGGAGGAGCCGTCACACGACCCAAAGAAAAAGGTGTTTCTCCGTCTCTGTGTGGTTATTTCTGGCAGCCAGTTCACCTGGAGTGACCCTGAGTGTTTAGTCGTGGGTCGAGACAGGTGAGAGTGTCATTGTCTTCCACGGAGTGTGCAGGGCGGGGGCCGAGGGCTGGTGGGTTGGGGTAATCTCTGGGCTCTCTGCACAGGCTGGCCCTGTGGTCGGGGCCTGGCCATGGTGAGCGGGGCCGGGTGATGTGGCCGGGGCCAGGAGCTGCACGAGGAGGTGGATGGGGGCTGGCCCGGGGCCGGGGTCTGCTCAGGAAGGCTCACAGACGCGCCACTGGCTGACTCTGGGGACTGGCTGACGCTGGAAGGGGCAGTCCCGCCAGGGCCAGCAGGGCCGGTGTCCAGCACCAGAACAAAGCAAAGGCGTGGAGATCACCGCGGGGAGGCAGGCGACCTCGGCCGCACAGGATCTGAAGAGCTGAAGCTCAACACGGAGAACTTCTAACGGGTAACAGGGGCCACTGAAGGCAGGGAGATCCCTGAGAGTGAGGGCTCAGCTGCCGGAGGAGGCGCTGCTCGGCCCTGGCGTGGCAGAAAGGTTCGCCGAGGTTGGGGCCGGAGGGCAGGGCACCCAAGGAATTCTCTGGAGAGCAGCCCGAGGGTGCTGCCAGCACCAGGTGAGCCCCACTGGGCATCCTGCTCGCTGGCCAAGCCCTGAGGCCTGCCGGACAGAGAAGGAAGAGGAGGATCTTGGACCCCACTGCAAGGCCTTGTCCCAGACCCTGCAGCGCCCTCTACTGACAAGGCTGACCTCACCAGCTGCAAAGGGGCCGACAGGGCCCAGCTCCAGCAGGGCAGCGCGGACTACGAAGGGTGCACCTGGAACTGAGTGGCACTAAATCTGTAGGTGGCACAGAATCCAAAAGGCTCAGGGGCAGAAGGCTGGGTGAACAGATCACATGTGACCTGCAAGCCACCCACATGGTCACATATCACGTGTGACCTGCACTGCCCCCCACCATGGTCACATATCACGTGTGACCTGCACTGCCCCCCACGATGGTCACATATCACGTGTGACCTGCACCGCCCCCCACCATGGTCACATATCAAGTGTGACCTGCACTGCCCCCCACCATGGTCACATATGACCTGCACTGCCCCCCACAATGGTCACATATCACGTGTGACCTGCACTGCCCCCCACGATGGTCACATATGACCTGCACCGCCCCCCCACCATGGTCACATATCACGTGTGACCTGCACTGCCCTCCACCATGGTCACATATCACGTGTGACTTGCACTGCCTGCATAGGGTCACATATCACGTGTGACCTGCACTGTCCCCCACCATGGTCACATATCACGTGTGACCTGCACCGCCCCCCACCATGGTCACATATCACGAGTGACCTGCACTGCCCCCCACGATGGTCACATATGACCTGCACCGCCCCCCACCATGGTCACATATCACATGTGACCTGTGTTGCCTGCACATGGTCACATATCACGTGTGACCTGCAGTTTGCTCTTGTCCTCTTGCAGGCAAAGCGTGAGACATGTGTTTAGGCAGCTGGATTATTCTAGGGGAACCCTTTAGGCTATAAACCTGCGTCTCTGCTGAAAGACTAGAGCTTTGAGAGGCAGCTCCCCCCGTCTGCGGCTTTGCTTTCTGTAAAGGACCCCTGGTCCCCATGTCACCACCTGTGTGAACCAGGGATTGGTGGGCAGCAGACCTGCAGAAAGCACTCATAGGACCCCTGGTCACACCCAGCGCCCACTGTGCACCCGGCCCTTGTGTACCAACCACAGAAGAGGGATGAGGTTTGTCCCTCCCGTCCCTCCCTCCTGCTCCAGCATATCCTTGAGGGAGCTCAGGCCAACCCACAGATGCCCCACAGACAGACAGAGTCACTAGGGACTGCTGAAGCTCTTTATGGAGAATCAGGAAGGTGGGGTGGATGAGGGAGAAGGGCAGTGGGGGGAGCCAGCTGGGCCCAGGTGGGCCACCCTCCATGTCCCCCAGGCCAGAGGTCCTGCTGGTGCCACCCGGGGATGCTGCAGAGCATGGTGTCCCTGCCCTGGGAACAAGAGGAGGTCAGTGAGCCCGGGGGGTGGGCCAAGGGAGGACTGCAGTAGTGGGGCTCCATCCGCGAGGCCAGAGCAGGTTGCCCAGAGCTTCTCTTCTGTGTGGGAGGAGGGACGGTGACTTCAGGCCAGTGGAGGGCAGGGAAGGACAGGATGCTGTGTGGCTCTGGCTCCGCCCACACCTGGGCAGGGGACCTTGGGCAGTCTCTGACCTGTCAGCTCCCTACATCACACAGCACGAGGGACCAGGGATTCTGAAGTCCCCAGGCATGGCTGCCACACCTTCAAAGCAACTCATGGGGCACATGGTGTCACCACTGAGGGCCAGAGAGGTGCTGAGGGACTTCCCACCTTCTGGCAAGCACTCTGGGGGGTTGGGGGAGAGGGCCACGGTCTCCACCAGCGGCCCCACCCAGGAGCGGTCACCATGGCGGGTTCCCTCACTGCCCAGATGACATCCTAGAGAAACCTGAAGACAACACCTGAGGACTGGCCACGCCTGGGGCAGAGCACACCTGTCCAGCCAGGTGGTGGCTCTCCTGTCCACCTAGAAGCAGGGGTGGTGTCCCCTGAAGTCCCATCACTCCACCCCCAGGACTGGGAGGTCCTCCTAACCCCTGAAACTGGTCTCTTACCCTAATCACTCCCTGGAGAGCAGGCTTCTGTGGAAGAAAGAAAAACACGATTCAGAAGAGCCTGGGATTCCATCGGGACCCAGGGCCCCGCCCTCGGCCAGCACTTCCCACCACCCCTCAAAGGACAAAGCCAGGATCCATGCAGCTCGCTCTTGTAACCGTCCTTGGCTGGAGCTCCTGGGGCAGGGAGAGCCCTGCAGAGCCCTCTCCCTACCCCTTTGCTTGGGGATGAAGATGCTGTCTGCGTTGAGGCCTCTGGCTGCTGCGACCTGCTCAAACTCCTGCAGGGCGTCTACGTTGACTTCAGGGTACCTGCCTGTAGGAGAGGCCAAGGGAGACAGGACTGTGGGGGCAGAGCTGGGAGCTGCTGGCATCTCCTTCCCAGCCTGGAGGACTGACCAGCGCAGTGCTGGGGAGGGAGACCTCAACGTGGAGGCTGGACCCAGAGGCCTGGGGCTGGGGCAGAGCCCAGATAGGAGAGGAGGACCAGGGGGTGTGAGCATCCACAGGGCGCCCAGGGCAGCCGACCCAGAAGGCCCAGAGCCGCTCTCCCTAAAGCCACCCAGCCTCTCCCGGGGCAGGACAGGGAGTGGCAGGACCAACTCTGCCCTGGAGGAGCGCCCCCAGGCTCAGGCACAGCCCTGCTGTCCACTGCTCTGTGTTCCCATGCACCTGGCTGTGGGGGAGCTGGGGGACGCCAGGCCTTGTCTTCAAGTCAGATTGGACTGACACCCAGTGTCTGCTCCGAGTTGGACTTCCCACGCAGGCTCCCCATCCATGTCTTCCCTGACCCCTGCTGGACTCCCCACAGGTACCCACGGATGGCCCTGACAGGTTTCCACAATGAGTCCTCGACTCATCCTGTGACATTCATGACACTGGTGGCCCTGCGCCCACAGCACCTCCTCCTTCCTGCGTTCCCATGCAGGGACGGGCCATCCCCAGTCCTGAGCTCTGAGGTGGGACTCGGGCTTCCTCTAGGAAACCCATCATCTGGACAAGGTTGCCAGGTCCTTGGATCCTGGTGGCTCCTCCTAGGGGAGGGGCAGGGGGCACAGGGAGAAAGGAGAGGGACCAAGGCTGGAGCCACCAGACACTGTGACTCACCCACAAGCTTTGCCATTCGGATCTGCTGCCCGTGCATGTCCCCCTCACAGTAGAGGATGTAGTGGTCCTCGTCCTGGGACTTAAGGACCTGCACCACATGCTTGCCCCCATCTGCAGAGGGACAGTGGACGAGTTGGGGAGTGGCCCTGATTCTCCACTGAAGACCCAGGATGGCTGACTCCAGCCCACAACACCCCTCAGTAACTCCCCCTCTCCCCTCCCAGGCTCCCTGACCTGGGTCCCCACCTAGCCTGGCCCCAGGCCTTGGGGCCACTTCCCAGGAACCCAACGCACCCAAGAGATGGCACATGTCAAGCTGGTGAGTCACAGGGAGGTCTGGGGCATGAGACTGGCAGAGGTTGGAGCTGGGGCAGCACAATCCACCCTCACCCCCAGCCAAGTACAGTCCTGGCCCTGACCAATGCCAGGGGTCAGCTGTGGCCAAAGAGGGAGCCCTGGGCAGAGACCCCCAGGCCTCATCCACCAGCCTCAGCAACACTGGGGTCGGGAGTTTGACTCTGTGGGGTGGAGGCTGGGTATGTAGTAGGGCCAGAAAGGAGAGCCTCAGGCCAAAGGCCACCCTGAGAAGCTGCCGGCTGGCCCCATGTGCCCATGGGTGGCCGGAGCTGCCCTGAACGGGCCCCAGCACTCACGGGCTGTGTATCTGCCCGGCTCGGCGGTCTTCTCTAGCACAGTGCTGATCTCGTGACACTGGCCTCCGATCCTGGAGGACAGAAGCTCCGTGGGCAAGGCCGCCCTGCTCAGGGCAGCCACGGGGCCTGGCCTGGCAGGAGGGCCGCAGACAGGCCCAGGAGCAGCAGGCCTCTCCACACAGGAAGTGAGGTGTGTTCACAGACGCTGAGCACCCTGAACTGGTCCAGGCACCAGTGGCCCTCTGTGTCCCACGAAGAGCCTTTGGGCCCACAGTGGCCAGAACTCTGTGTCCTCCGACCCCCTCACTGGCTGCCAGGGGATATCAGGCTGCCTGGGAGGAACCCCCTGGCAGAGTCGCCATAAGGCTCCAGGTGCTGGGTGCTGAGGGCCGAGTAGGCCCCTGGCGTGGTCTGCACCCCACCCAGCCCTGCTGTCCTCCATGGAAAGGGAGGACCATGCGGCCCACAGACACTCACAGGACGGTGAAGGTGACTTCCAGGTGGCCCCCTGCCAGGGTCTTGATGGTCATGGGGGTCACAGACACAGACTCCAGCTTCTTCCAGGGAATCTCCTTGTCTGCTGCCGTGGCCTTCAGGTACCACGTGCCTGACGCCTGCAGAAGGCACCTGACCATCAGGGCTCAGGCCCACCTCCAGGGCCTCCCCTCCTCAGCTACCCTGGACTCTATGCTCCAAGGACCGGGGACCTGGAGCATCCTCTGCCCCTACCCCACCCGAGCTCACCCCCACTCCCACCAGGCCCCCGAGAGCCGGATCCCAGCTCCCACAGCTTGGCCAGGACCCAGGCGCTGGCTCCCAGGGCAGATGTGTCCCCTGCTTCCACCAGCCCTCTGCAGCCCCATCTGGCCCAGACCCCCCTGAGCCGTGTGATGTCTCCTTGGGGCAGGGGTTCAAGGCCTGGTGTCGATACGAGGGTCTCCTTCATGGGGGAGGGATGGGGTCTGCACCCAGCCATCTTGGCCCTCCCTGCCCCCGCAGCCCTCCGCCCATCTGAGCCTCACATCCTGGGTCTCCTCATCCCCGACTGGGAGCGTCTGGGCCCGCAGGGCAGCGAGGAGGCTGAGGCCCAGGGTCAGGAGCAGGGTCTTCATGCCGGGGTCTGTGCTCGCGGCTGCTGGGCGCGGACTCTCTGGGCTGGAGTGGCTGTGCTGCTTCCTCACTCCCCGCCCTTTATACTGCTCGGGGCAGGCCCCCGGGGAACTTGGCACAGAGCACCCACCAGTCCTTTCCTGGCCACTGAGCGTGGCTGCTCTGCAGTGGAGCAGATGAAATGTCACTATTGTTGGAAGTTGCTGAGTAACACTGTGTCCGTTCCCCAGGGCATCATCAGGACAGGGCCGCTGTCCAGGGGAGCCACTCGCACATTTCACCTGGCAGGAAATGAGCCGGATGGAGGGTGCAGTTCCCGTGTACAGAGCCCCGAGGGTGTGTGCGGTGGCAGCAGAACCCTGGGGCCCTCCCCTCATGGCATTCCCTGGCTGACACAGGGGGGACTCAGTGAGCCCTGGGCTCTGGTCTTGGTGACCTTCCCGCATCCACGACAGGTCACTTCACCTCAGATTCATCTTGCAAAAGGAGAGACCCTGGCCAGGCACAGTGGCCACCCCTGTAATCCCAGCTCCTGGGGAGGCTGAGGCAGGAGGCTGTCACCTTCAAGACCAGCAGAGGCAACTTAGCCAGACCCTGTCTCCAAAGAAAGAAAGGAGAAGGGCTGGTGATGTAGCCCAGTGGTAGAGCCCCTGGGTTCAGCCCTCAACCCTGAAGAGGAGCAAACCAAGCGGGACCTGCAGTGTGGACAGGAAGTCAGTGTGTTCACAGAAGCTGAGATCCCTGAGCACTGTGTGCACCAGGACCCGCTCCACGTCAGAACAGCCGAGGGTCAGACACACGCAGGCACAGCCACGGACCCAGGTCACAGTGGCAAGGACAGCACCAAGTCGGTCCTACAGGGTGATGTGACGCACACTCGGGGATCACGGAACAGCTGCGGAGGCCCGAGGAGTGGAGCCAGAGAAGGCCGGTGCTCCCTGGCCAGCCTCTGCCATCGACAGTGGGGTTTGGTTTGTCCTAGAGCTGAACCCTCGGGTCAGTGTCCAGGAGAGAGTCCAGGAACAGCCGGAGACAGAACTGGAGATGCAGAAACATTTGTGGGGGAAACATGGAAAAATGGGATCTCTCACCTTCATGGGGGAGAGGGGAGTCCAGCTCCTGACCTCAGGCCACGCACAGCCACTCCGGGGAGTGTAAAGGCTTAAAATCTGAAAAGCACATTAAACAGCCTGTGGAAGCCAACACGGGTGGTGTCCCTGTGGCCCTGCGGTTGGTCCTCAAGTCGGTCAAGCTGCGTCTCTTCAGAGGGGACAAGCAGCTGCAGCCTCCGCGAGGGAAGCAGGGAGGTGGCGCCGTCTTGCCCCGAGGTGGGGACACGCCACACCTGACCAGTGCTGAGGGGACCAGGCGCCCAGAGGGCCTCATCCGTGAGCTCCCTAGGGGGCACACATGAGGACGCCCCTGGACCCCACGCTCTGCAGAACCTTCTGACCCCCAAATCTTCCTGCCTCCCGCCCACGCACGAGCACGCAGCCGGCAGTCCTAGGGGATGGGTGGTTCTGCAGAACTGGCCATCGTGTCTCTTTCCACAGTGTGGGCAGGGCTGTGGGGACACGGGGGGGTAGAAGGGGGACCACAGAGTGCAGCACCCATGGAGGTGAGCAGGTGGGCAGGAAGGAGAGGCCACAGGAGCTTCAGGGTGGACATCCAGGGGTCTTGCCCGTGTCCATCCCGCCACCTCCCAGGCGAGCCAGGCAAGGGGCCAAGTGGAGCTGGGCGTGAGCACAGCCCTCTGCCAACCCGGGGCTCGTTTTCCAAGGTCCACCGAGGTTCCAGCTTCACCGTCCAGTCGGTGTCCTGTCCCCACTGAGCGTCCTGTTTCCCGAGTGACCGCAGAGGGCTCCAGGAGCGGCCTGGGTTGGTGCAGTTAGGCCTGCCGGGCCCAGCGGTTCTCTCCATTATGCTCCCCTCCTCTGGGGCCCTCCAGAGCCCAGCACAGTCGCCTCCCAGGCCAGGAAGGGGGGAGCCAGCTTGACGCACAGCGTGGGGCGAGCACACAGCCCCACGTGGTGCTGGGGCAGCTGTGCCTTGGACAAGGGAAGGAGTGATACGGTGTCACCATCCAGCCTAGAGGCGCCTCTTGGGTCTGGCCTGTCACATCTGTCTGGCATGTCCCTATCACTGGTCCTGCTGCCTCCCTGTGGAGCGACAGCCATGTGGACAGCTCAGGTCTGGCGTCCCCACCACCGGGCTCCTCGTCCACCCAGGCCTGGGCTGGCAAAGCTGGCTGGACGGATGTACCCAGGAGTCACAGGAGGCTGAGGGGAGCGGACCTGCCTTGGCCACGAGAGCCCGGGTGCACCTGGAGGCCGGACGCCCTTGTGTGCAGAGGGGCTGCGTCTGGGGCATGGCTGTGTTTGCACTCAGGCTCTCTCTTCTCCGTTCCCTCCAAGGCCCTGGCCTATCCGAACAGCGATGCTTTGAGTGAGAGCTGACCTGTGTGGCCGTCACACAGGCAGGAACGTGCCTGCAGGCTCCTGGCCCAGTGTCCTCCCGAGCCGGCCGCCAGGTTGCTGCATGTGGAAGTGGCCTCTGGGGAAGCTTTGCCAGCCTCACCTCCAGGCCACGAGGCATCCCCACGGGCTCCTCCACACCCCCGGTCCAGAGGGCTGGTCCCCCGAGGGGAGGGGTCGGCGTCTGGTGGGCTCAGAGTGGGCAGGCAGAGAAGAGCCAGGCACAGCACCTCTGAGAACCACAGCAGCGGCTCTCTGGGGAAGAGCCCCTCGGAGGACCCCGAGCAGAGACAGGAAGCGCCCAGGTCCTGCGTGACCTCACAGCCTGCCCGACCCTGCACTCCAGCCCGGACCGCTGCACGGCCAGCTTGACTGCAGCGCGGGGAGAGCACAGAGCCCCTGTGGTGCTGGGGCGCCGTCTGTGGACAAGGGACGGAGCCATGCGGGTGTCTCTGGGCAGGGAGAAGCCAGGGGAGATGTGGGGCTCGGAGGGCCCCCCCGCCAGCCTCCGAGGCAGCGCCACTGCTGATTTCCAGCCAGGAGGAACAGGGACCTGGAAGGGCAACAGGATGTGTCCTGAAAGCTGTAGCAACTGACCTTTCAAACACCACGGACAGAGCGCGCTTATCTCGCCCGCGTGAGTCCTCGCCCCCAAACAATTGTGTGGCGCTCTGGACCCGTGAAGGCCCGGCCTCGGGATCTGCGTCACGCTGGCTCTGGCCAGCTGGGCCCTTCTCAGGGAAGTGGGGCTCAGGCAGCTCCCGGCTCTCTGTACCCTGCAGGGCCACGTGCCTGTCTGTCCCGCGGGCTGGGCCCTCTGTGGGCAGGTGAGCAGCTGCTGGCTCAGAGCCCCCAGCACTGGCTGCCAGACAGGGGCCAGGCCACCCAGGGACTTCCGGGGGCAGCTCAAGGCCACCACCCTCCCTCCTGCAGGCCCCAGGGACCGGCTCCTTGCTCTCCTTGTGTTTTGCCTGGGGAAGGGCAGACGACACCTGAGGAGAAAGTGCCCCAGAACTAGAAGCTCAGCTGTGACCCCAGTGCAGCACTTGGGCTTGAACTCGGCTCAGCCCAGCAGCGGCCATTCTTCAGACCAGGCTGCCTTCGTTCTGGGCTATTTTCAAGTTCTCTCTTCTTCCTCTGCCTCTCTCAGGAGCAGACTCACTCCTGGGGCCCTCTGGTCACCTCCTCTGAGCAGTTCTGCTCCCATACGATGGCTCCCGTCACGCCCGTCCACCTCCAGCGGATCCGTCTGTGGCCCGAGTCCCTTTGCAGGGCTGTGCACCATCCGCCCAGTCCAGCTTCAGAACACTACCCCCAGTCCCTGAGCCCATCAGCACTCGGTTCCCAGTCCCACCCCAGCTGGAACCACGGATCTACTTGCCACCCCTACAGAATTCCTGTTCTGCACATTTCACGTGCACGGGATCGTGCAGTGTGTGGCTTGCTGACTGGCTTCCTTCCACGCCCGCGGGGTCTCCAGGCTCATCTGAGCTGAAGCCTGGGCCACAGCTTCATTCCTTGGTGTGGCTCATAAAGGTTCCGTCATGTGGACAGACATCCATTGTCATCTGCCAGACCATCCGATGGTCATGGACACTGCACCTACCAGGGACCTCAGCACAGGTCCCTCCCAAACCCTTGCAGACAACACATTGCTGACACGACTCAAGGAGTAGCCACAGAGAGTGCACCCCTATATTCAACACCCCTGCATGTCTCAAAAGTCACCAGTCACACACAAAGCCACCTTCACCCTCCTGGAAGACGGCTGAACGGTCCGAGAGAAGCAAGGTGGCAGAAGAGAACTGTCCTTAGTGGGACTTTGTAAGTATATAGAGTCAGGGAAACTACATTCTGGGGAGAGTGGGGGAGGCAACACTCAGGACCAACAGAGAAGTGACAGTAAGTCTAAGCGGCATGAGAATCAGAAGGGTAATGCCCAGAAATTTGCAACCAGCCCTGATGATAGCCACAGACCAGCCGTCCCTACTGCAGGAAGAATCCATGGTTCATGCCAGTGCTGAGTCCAGGTCAGGAATTCAGCCTGAGAGGGTCTCCCACAGAGCAAGGCGGCTTTAGGGAAGAAAGTCAATATCCGGCTCAGCAAGCTCCCAGAGTGCTGTGGCCAGGAGCCATCTTGAGAAGGTCCTGTTGGGAGGGACTCAACTGCTCTTGGGAGGAGAAAACTCAGAGAACCGCAATTCAGAGTCCCTGTGAACACTCTGCCTCACCGAGTAGGTGGATTGGCTACAAAAGACAGCTGTGGCTGGGGAAGGGGTGAACCTGAGCCTGCTGAAGAGTGTGAGCCGAGGGCACTGTGGGCTGCGACAATAGGGGGCACAGCGAGAGTGGAGGGTACAGCAGTCTGCATTCCCACACCTGCTGCATTCCATGCTGTGAGTGTCACTGCCGTTTGTTTTCCTCCTTCTGGAGCAGGGGATCACGTCCAGCACCTCATGGAGGCGGGTGCATGTATGTGCCACTGAGCTGCACTCATAAAACCATGGAGAGAAGTGGCATTCTATGACGGTCATGTTTTCTAGTCCTGTTTGAACCTCGGCAGAGATTCTAACTCTAACAAAGGGGAGAGAAAAGCCCCCAGCTGGTAAGCAGGCCCCAAGTAGATATGGTTAGGGGGGTCCAA